GGGCGTTGAGAGTTTAATATTTATCCACCTTGTTGTTTTAACTAACTGTGCCTTTGGTTGGTGGATTCGTGTCATGATTTGTGATTTACTATCGTATTTTCTTTATAAAAAAAACACATAAAAAACACATAAATCAAGAATGATTTTAAATCATGATTCTGAATTTACGAGTTCAAGATATTTAAGTTGACGGTTGTATTGAATAAGGGTAGTCGACAAAAAAAATTTATATCAATTAATAAAATTAGATTCTTATCACGTTACATTATTAAAATTTTGTATTTAAATGTTTCAAACTCAACACTTAAAAGACCAAGTCATGTGTCCATTTATCCTTATGTTATGCTTGCAACAACAACTAATTGTTTGGTTTTTGGCCAATGTGTAGTGTTAGGTCGGGGTGATTTTTCGTAATGATTTTCTTAAGATTGAGTTTTGGCCTCGTCGGTTGTCCTCATTGAGCCAAGTTTTGTGTTTGTATCGTTATAGATCTAAAATGCTGAAGAAATGTAACGCATGTGTAGATAGGGGTTTTACCAAATGGTGTACATTGTTGACCACAATTTTGTGAGCTTGTGTAGCCTCAAGCCATGCAATCTTGTGGTTAAGATTGGTGTCTGATTCTTAAAGAGTATGTAATTGATATTTGTGTGAAGATAGGTGTTTGCAACTTGTGAGGCACACATAAGTTGATATGGGTCTTGAAAATCTTCTATGGTAAGCCTGTAACAAGATTAGGTGTTGAAAAAAAAAAAAAAAAAGGTGTAGTTGATAGAAATTAAACGAATTATTAAAAAGAAATGAGAGAAAATTGTAATGGAATAAAGGGGATTTACTTTAGTGTGAACAAGATTTTGCTTTATTGTGGAAATGTCTGAAACAGTGTGGAGATTGATACTCAAAAGCAGAATACACATATGAAATGTCCTATCTTGGGGAACAAAAGTTGTTTGATGAATGAATGTAAATAATTATTGTTTGATTTCTTTCTCTCTGGGAGGATTGCAGAATAATTAACGAATCTTTATCAAAGTGTAGTGAATGTGGACTGGGTATTACTGTGGAATATGCAGCCACAGCTTTGGTGGAATAAGTCAAAGATCCTCCATGATATTTTAGCTCCCAATTACAAAAAAGTACGTAAAGGGTAATCAACTTGATCTTTGTATTGACAGGAATTGGGTAGATTTTGGCTCGATTGCCCTCCTTTCGTTACTAGGAATAAAGTCATGTTGGTTAGAATATGTTTGTGTTTTAGCTTTACTAGAGAGAGAGAGATTGGAAATGGAAAGAGAACTAATTAGTTGGGCCGGGTTGGGATTTGGCTCGGCTTTGGCTTAAATTAGAATAGAATAGAATGCGGCTGGCTTCTAAACTAGGCTGCATTATTTATTGGTTATTCATTTGTGCCATTTTTATGTACTTAAATTTCTTACGTAGTGGTAAATTTGATTTTTCCAAGAACTACTAATATGTAATTTAATTCACCTTAATGCGGTACTTCTTTTCACCATTTGAATCACAATTTAATTTTTTAAACTTTTTGTTATAGTATTTTTTTTTTATAAAAATTTAAATTTTAACTTTTCATGCTATATTGTTCTCTTACGTGAGGTCACTTTTTAATACAAGTTATCAACTCAAACAAGTGAAACGAACATGATCTTAGGGTTTGTTCTTTTAGATAAAAACTTAAAAAAAATTTGAACTCAAGTTACAACTTTATTTAAATTCATGTTTTTTTTATAAAATTTAAATTTAAACTTGAGTTTGAACTCAAGTTTTAACTTGAGTTTGAGGCTAAAATATGAGTTCAAGTTCATCCTTCAACTCAAGTTCTTAAACTCAAACTCAAGTTAATGAATAATATTTTTTCTATTATTAAAAACACCATAACTTTTTCGTTTTAATTCCGATTGAGATAGTTTTTTTTATATGGGTTCACAATGAAGAGATGAATAAAACCTTATCTATATACCATATTAAAATTTTCCATCACCATTTAGTTTTTATTAAAATACTATCTAAATACAAATTCAAGTTTTGATCAACCTAAACACAAACTCAAGTTTTGACCCACATAAACACAAATTCAAATAGATTTGTAATTCTAATCATAACTCAAATGTGCACATCTAAGCACAAATTTAAGTTATAATTTTAACTCAAATTATAACTCAATCTCTACTCTTAAATCACGATAACTCAAAAATATAAACGAACAAGCTCTTATTCTTTTTCTTTTCAAAGTTGAGTTGTAAACATTCACATTCAGAGTTACCATAAAGCAAGTTTGTTTTTGAAACATTTGAGAGATAATTACAAAAGTCCTTTTCTTCCTCAGGGTTTTGAAATTTATATTTTCTTATTAGGATCATATGTGCACAGTTGTATTTTTATATCAAGGGTGTGTATGGTGATTTTATCTTAATTTCTCCTTATGGTCGTGTTGGATTTTCGATTTTTCTTTGGGTTTTCTTTCCCCATCTTCCATGCTTACCACAGGCAGAAATGATGAAACTACAGGTTTTAGGACATTACAGGACCACTAGTATATTTGACACGTATGTTTTTTGGTTTGCTTTGGCTTTGCACTGAACAAGCCTTGATCAAATAGTTGTAGTAAACGGTAAACCAGTTGCTAGCTTTGATAATGTAGCGGCATTATGACTAAGGCTGTAATGGAGTTAATTACGAGTTTTTTATTTTATTTTATTTACTGACATAATTTCTAATTTAGTGATTAAGAATCTAGTTTAGTTGTAATTTCACACTTAACTTTATCACAAAATATAGAGTTAGGAATACTCCATCTTCAAGTTAATAGAGAGAGAGAGAGAGAGAGAGAGAGAGAATTGGTGGTGTCATATTCCAATAGTTGCAGATAGATAAACATAAATATTTGTTTTTAGCGTATACTATTACACCACTGAGATCGTCTGGTTATCTTTGTAAATGATTAATAAAGAGCATAATCATAAATGGCATGTTAAGTTCGTGAATATGTAAGGTCCTTTGTATTGGTTGTCATGTGTGGCCAACTTCTACTTGGATCAGGGATGCTGGTGTTATCCACTCTTATGACTCATCTTTCTAACGGCCGACATGCCGAAATTGACTTGAGACCAATAGAATAATGTGAAGAAAATATTGAATTTTAGTAACTCTTAGCTTATTGTTAATCAACATTATTATTGTTGATGTTTATCATTTATTTTTTGGAATAATTGTGGTTGTCTTTGGATGCTTTATAAACACTACATTTTGCGGATGATAAGGTGAATCTCCTACCTTTTTGCGTGGCAATTCTTTGCGTGCGACTCGTGGGCTGAAGTGGGTTCTACTTCTATCAGCCTTGCATGTGGTCTTGCCTGCAATGAAGTCCATCCACGGTTAGATATGCGCCATTTTTTGTCCCCAAATTTTAGGTGATTTTTAAGAAATCTCAGAATGAGTTCTCTATCTATCAAGTTATCCTAAATTGGAGTTTCCATACACATTGATTAAAATTTTAAGGAAAAGTAGCACGAGTTCATATGTCCCTTTTTTCATGTCCTCTTTCGTGTCCCTCTAATAACAACATGACACGTTATGATTTTTTAATTGATGTAATAAGAATCTTTAATTGACCATAATGCATTTTAATTGATGTGTCACAATATTACTGGAGAGACATGAAATGAGACAGGAGTAAAGGGACACAAGTTTTGATTCTCGTTTGAACAACGTGTTGTTTAGTTGGGGTTATTTTCTAATTTTACATGTTAGGGTAATTTTATTCTCATTTGCCCTTTTCATTAAAGATTATCTTATGGATAGAAAGAGCAATTTGCGACATCTTGATAGCTCAGGGCTCGTTGTGGAATGTTTTAACAGTTAGGAGTCAATATAGAATTTGACCTATAATTTGGAGAAACCCCATCGTCCCCTAGTTCACTTGACATTCAGGAAATGAGAAGGTTGTCCCTTCCCAAAGCCAGCCTTCACGAGCGGCTCTTATGAATCCTGAACAACCACCGTCGTCTTGTCTTTGATCCGCGTAACACAATTAAACATACAAAAGCACCAGGGCTGATACATGGACGTACACAAAAAATTGGGCCTTCTTGCAACAATTTCATAATTAAGGGGGAATTTAACTGAAATTTTAAAGAGGCAAATGAGATTAGTCTAAAATTCTAAGGGTATGTATAAAAATTAGATGACATTTGGTTCATGGCTTCAGAATCATGATTCAAGATTATTCTCGATTTACATGTGTTTTTTGTGAGAAAAAACACTATAACGAGTCACGAACCATAATCTGAGTCATAAAACGGATCCTTACTCCAAACACACTCTTAGTCTCTTAAAATATGTCTATCGGGAAAAGATGCTCCGTGCATTATTAGGCATTTCGGTTTTTCATTTTGTATTTGTATGGTATATGTGCTAAAAATTGAAAATTGTTGATTGAGTTGAATCAAACTGACCCCGTTTGTGTTATGACTGTAATTTTTGGAGAGAAAACAAGATATGATTTTAATTTTGTTT